TTCTGTGTGCATATGTGAGAATTTTTATGCAGGATGAACTCAAAGAAATGAAATTGCTGGGTCACAGAGTCAATGCATTTTATTTGTAATGGTCATTGCCAAATTATGCAGGGGTTATGCAATTTACATTAGCCCAATAACATGTTTGGGAGTACGCTTTTTTCTCCAGCTCTCACCAATAAAGAACTTTATCAAACTTGGTTAAGATAGAATTTTATATAAGATATTTCATTCATTCATTAGCTGTTTAGGCAGAGCCTCTGATTTACTGTTTGTACCACCAGTGCTGCACCAGATCCAGGAGGATATTTTGGGGGGAGGGGGTCTAAATTCAATAATAATAAAAAAAAGCAGAATAATTTACAAGTGGACCTTTTTTTTTTTTTTTTTTTGAGACAGAGTCTCACTTTGTTGCCCAGGCTAGAGTGAGTGCCATGGCATCAGCCTAGCTCACAGCAACCTCAAACTCCTGGGCTCAAGCAATCCTCCTGCCTCAGCCTCCGAGTAGCTGGGACTACAGGCATGCGCCACCATGCCCAGCTAATTTTTTCTATATATATTAGTCGGCCAATTAATTTCTTTGTATTTATGGTAGAGACGGGGTCTCGTTCTTGCTGAGGTTGGTTTTGAACTCCTGACCTCGAGCAATCCGCCCGCCTTGGCCTTCCAGAGTGCCAGGATTATAGGCTTGAACCACCACGCCCAGCCTACAAGTGGAACTTTGGATTAGCCAATTTATTGAACTTCTGCTCTAGGCCAGGCACTGGGGATACTAGGAGAAATGAGCTTTGGTTCCACTCAGGGGCTGTAACAATTTCCCCCTTGATGTGAAAACGGCTCCTGACATGTCCCAGTTGCTACTTGGAGAATGGATCCCAAATACCCACTTAGGTTTAGGCTTTCACCAAAGTGTGAGAAGTGGGTGGTGGTTATACAATCCCTTCCATTTAAAGTCTTTTGTCTTCACCCAGACACATGATTAAGACAATTGCACACAAAAGAAAAGGCAATTGCCACACCTAATATGTGGTAGTCACATTTTAATTGTAGTTTGTGCTGTATCTCCAACCAGGGAACTGGTTATAGAGTTTGTTCTGTTTTGTTGGAATGTAGAGAAAAGGTATTTCTTTTGTTCTGTTTTTTGGTGGTGAAGCAAAGTATTTTAGAAAAAATATTTGAGAAGCAGAGGGATTAATTATTAGTTACCAAAATCATCAGTCTTTTCAGATGATTCAAATAATTGCAAACTTCCAGCTCTACCTAAACTGACTGGAAGAAAGCCTATATTTAAGTTTACCATTATGTTTATCGATTTCTAATAAAAACTATCCCAAATGCACATAATCCACAAAAACCAAATCACTGAAGAATTTTGAGCATTAAAGTAGGACATAATCAGCCTATTGTGCCTAATTAATACTAAAGGTTCCAATTAATACTATGAGTGTAGACGCTCCTTCCCACCCTCCCCCCTTACATCATATAACCTGTAAAATTACATTCTGCGACTTTAGGATCACTCACCTTGGTTATCAACTGTCAGACTTTGATAAATTGCACAGGGATTTAAAAGCCTGATTTATTGTTTGTACTATCAATGGTGCCCCAGGTCCAGGAGTACATTTGGGGGACTCTTTATTTCCCCACATTGTGGGGACTCTGGACTCTGGATGATAAAAGCAAGAAGAATAATCTACAAGTGGAGCCTGTGATCATTCCATATACAGTTGACCCTTGAACAACATAGGTTTGAACATGCAGGTCCACTTATATATACTTTTTAAAATAAATATATTGGAAAACTTTCTGGAGATTTGTGACAATTCAAAAAAACTGACAGATGAATCATGTAGTCTAGAATCATCACAAAAATTAAGAAAAAGTTAGATATGTTCATGAATAAACAAAATACATGTAGATACTAGTCCATTTTATCATTCACTATCATAAAATATACCTGAATCTATCGTAAAAAGTTAAAATTTGTCAGAATTTACCCACACAAACACAGACCTTACACGGGTGTCATCTGCATTCAAGAGAAATATGAACAAACGTGATGACGCAGTATTAAATCATCACTGCCTAAAGTTAACTAAAGAACATACTGTCACTGTAATAATTTTTGGCCACCTCCTGTTACTATTGCAGCAAGCTCAAATGTTGTAATTATCCACTTAAAACACTATGTGACACTAATCATCTGTGTGAGCACTTCGTCTCTTTAGCAAATTGCCTATCTCAGTAAAAGTGATCTCTCATGGTTCTTAAGTGTTTTTCATGTTGTTTAGTGCAATACTGTAAACCTTGGTTAACACCATGGGACCCTATGAAATTCCCTATGAAACGCCCTATGAAATTCCACTAATAATGCTGGTAGTGGTCCCAAGAAGCAGAGAAAAGCCACATTATAAGAAGTTGAATTGCTGGATATGTACCGTAGATTGAGGTCTGTAGCCGCAGTTGCCCGCCATGTCAGACAGACGATTCATCTTGTAAATAGACAACATAAACTTACAGTATTGATACAGAACAGTACTGTCAATGTGTCATCTCTTCATTATAGCTTTTGTAACAAAATTTTCTTTTTTGTAGTTTACTTTATTGTAAAAATGTAGTATATTATGCATATAACACACAAAATGTGTTAATCGATTATGTTATCGGTAAGGCTTCCAATCAATAGTAGGCTATTAGTATTAATAGTTACATTTTTGGGGAGTCAAAAGTTACATGTGGATTTTCTACTGTGCGAGGGGTCAATATCCCTAACCTCCGCATTGTTCAAGGGTTAACTGTAGTTTTGACAGCTGTTAAAAGCATTGAAGTCATTCCTACTGTGCCAACTGGGCTATAGAAAGAAACACAGAGATAGCAATGATTCTGGAATGTTTTGGTGTCTGTCTCCTGGGACATGTGAGCAAGATTCTGAAGGATTCCACAAGCTATCCCTTCTGAAAGGCTCTTGAGTAACATTTGAGAGCAACATTTGTGATTGCAATTGCTAGTTTTCCCCAAATAGCCTTATTAAAAAAATAAAAAATTTACCTAAAATTGCTCTATTTCACATCTTTATCACTATGGTCATAATCACATCCTTTAACTAATATTTATTGAACTGTGGTTTATTGCAAACTACTGACCCTGAGTATACAATAGGAATAAAGCAAAGAAAACCAGGAAAATGTATATATTAATACTTTGACAAGCATGTAGTACAGATAAGAACTGAAAAGAAACAGATGAAAGTGGTTGTACATGAGTAGTTATGTGTACATTTTTAAATGTTTCATTTTGTATCATAAATTTGTTTTAAACATGTTGCTTTTTAGAAAACAATTGAATTTTTATACTAAGAAAATAATTTTACAATCCAAATTGAGGTTTTAACCCCTGGGTTAACATTTTTGTACATATTACATCAGGCTTTTTCCTTTGCTTATACTGTTTATCTATATAAAGATATAAATATAATTTTATATACAGTTATATATAATTAAAATACTTTAATATATAATTATATGCAGTACACACATAATTTTATTTATATAATTTGATATATATAAAATAGAGATGAGGTCTTGCTCTGTCACCCAGGCTGGGGTGCAGTGGCCAGATCATAGCTTACTGCAGCCTTGAACTCCTGGGCTCAAGCAATCTTCCTGCCTCAGCCTCCCAAGTAGGTAGGACTACAGGTGCATGGTGCATGCCACCATGCTTGACTAATTTTTTTTTTTTTTTTCCGTAGAGACAAGATGTCCCTATGTTGCACAGACTGGTCTTGAACTTCTGGCTTCAAGTGATCCTGCCACCTCAGCCTCCCAAAGTGAAGGATTACAGGTGTGAGCCACCACACCCAGCCAGGAATATATATAATAAAATAACAATGTACTATATAAATACTCATTCTATTATGAAACATGCATTTTTCACAATATAATCTGAACAGGTTTCCACAACATTGTATATAGATTTACCTAATTTTTAAGAAAAATTATTGTTTAAAACAAGTGTCAACAAACTACAACCTGTGGGCCAGCACCTTATTTTTGTAAATAAAGATTTATTGGAACACAGTCACACTCTTTGTTTCCATATTGTCTAAGGATGTATTTGTGCTACAACTGCAAAATGGAAGAGTTGCAAAAAAGACCTACGGCCCACAAACCAAAAATATTTACCACCTGGTATTTTATGAAAAAGAAAGCCTTTGAATTTCACTGTAGGAATATTTCCTCATTTATGTAAGCAATCTCATATTGACTGACATTTCAATTATTTGTAATTTTCTGCTGTTATATTCATATAGATTAAACCATAGTTCTACCTTGTATCATAAATATCTTGGCTGTGTATGTGTTTGCATATTTGTCAATATTTATTGACAAGCAGAAGTTTAAAAACTTTTGATATCTATATTGCTATTAACATATCAACCTTTGTCTTTACGATTTTTGCCTTTAGGGTCATGCATAAAAAAGGGGATGGCAAACTTTTGCTAAAATATCTAAACCAGAGCTACCAGAAACTGTTTTTTTTCCCCCAGAAAACCTAGCCTTGTGCTGAATTCTCCAGTACTTGGATGGGCCTGCTCATCCTTTTTCCATTTATATCAGGAAAACTGCCCAAAACCAAAGTAGAATGGAGCTAGTGGCTGCCTGGGATTCAGTCACCCTACCCTAGCTGTGCTCCAGCTGTCGGTGACTGAGCTGATCTTCCCAGGGTCCAGGCTGAACTTCTTTATCTCCTTGTTAACTCCAGATTCTGAGTGGCATGCTTGAGGACACTGACCAGGGTCCTGCCTGGCCTGTCTCTCCCCACACAGCCTGCCCATGACTCTGCCCAAGCCCCTGCCTCCCCAGACACAGCCGAGCCTGCAGTGCCAACCTCACCCTGCCCTCCCAGACTCCATGCTTGCCCACGCCTTCCAAACTGGTTGCAATTTTGGAGGCTCTCCAAAATTGGCTGCAATTTTTTAACTCCTGGCTGTAATTTTTTACCTTATGGTCCTTGTTGGTTTGCCTCTTTTATTGTGTGGTCACCAGTGCTGAAAGATTAAAGGAAACATTGCCCAGTTAAATTCGTCTCCAAATAGTTCCCTGTGTATGGTGTTTGTAAACAAGTGTATTTATTATTAAAGGGGAAAAAAGATCTATTAAGTAAGAAAAATCCTATTAGCCCTCTGAAGATAATGTCTCTCACATACTTTCAAATACCATCCAAGAAGAGATTTGGAGGTGCAGGAAAGGGAGGGTGAGCAGAGAGTGTCTATATGCAATGATATTAGCTCTTACATCAAGCTATTTTTTAATGAAAATAAACAGATTCAGAAGACCCAGAGGATGGCACTACAGCATAATAATATAGAAATTTCATTAAACTTAAAAAAATACTCTTTCTTGACGTTTATGAGAATTTATTGTCACAAATTGTTTTCTCACTCTTCTAGGAATTCATTTTCTCATAAATTATATGGAATATCTTGCAAAAAGTAAATGCATAGAACAGCTAAAATGCAATGGTTCTTTTAAATAGATGTATTTAGAAATACATAGAATTTCTAAAATGTATTATTATTTCTTTTACCATCTTTTTTGTCATTTATAACTCTCTTTCTTTGACTCTTTCCAGAAAGAGTTTCCAATTTTCTTTACAGACTGATAAACATAACTTCAAAACACTTTGTAATCATTATATAGGTATAGGGCCATTCTATTTTTCTAAGAGAGAATTTAGTTATTATTTCTGTTAAGGTTTTTTTTTTTTTTTTTTTTTTTTGAGACAGGATCTCACTATGTTACCCTGGAACTCTTGCCTCAAGCAATCATCCTGCCTTAGCCTCCCAAGTACTCAAGCTACGATGCCCGATTTCTATTAAGTTTTAAAGATCCAGAATGTCAAATGACAATCCCTCCTTATTTTGCCACCTAATAACAGTTCTCTTTCCTGTTTTTATAAGACCTTAGGATGTAAGAGCCTAGGTTCCCCTTAATCATCTCCTCAGTTTCCTGTTGCTGTGTAACAAAGCACCACCAACGATAGCTTAAAAAAATACAAATGTATTCCCTTATACTTTCAAAAGTCAGCAGTCCAAAATTGGGTCTTAGGGGATAAAATCAAGGCGTCTGCAGGACTGTGTTTCTTCTGGAGGCTCAAGGAGAGAACCCTTTCCTTGCCTCTCCAGCTTCTAGAGACTGTGTGTGTGCATTCCTTGGCTTGTGGATCCACATCACTCCAGCCTCTGCTTCTGTCATCACATCTCCTTCTCTGCCTCTCACCCTCCCACCTCCTCTTACAGGGACTCTTGTGATTATATTGGGCTCACCCAGACAATCCAGGAAAATCTCCCATTCTCAAGGTCCTCAACTCTACTCACATCTGCAAAGTCCCTTTTTCCAAGGAAGGCAATATATTCACAGGTTCCAGGGATTATGCAGTAGACATCTTGGGGGAGACCATTACTCTGTCTACCACAGTAGAGTCCTGATCCAGTCATTTACTTTATCCACTTTATAATTTTGCCTAGATTAACAATAAAACACCATTAATATTTTATGCCTTTAAAACTAAAGTTATAAAGGCAATGACTATGCCCATGAAAAAAGACAAAAGAGGATATCATGGCAAACATATGTCTCTGATTCTATAACCACATGTCCTCCCTGCTAATTCCTCCTTTCTTATCTCCCATACCTTCCTTTTTTTCTTTTCTTTTCTTTTTTCTTTTCTCTTCTCTTCTCTTCTCTTCTCTTCTCTTCTCTTCTCTTCTCTTCTCTCTCTCTTTCTTTCTTTCTTTTTTTTTTTTGAAATAGGGTCTCATTATGTTGCCCAGGTTGGTCTCCAACTGGACTCAAGTGAATCCTTCCACCTGAGCCTCCTGAGTAGCTGGGACTACAGGTGCCCACCACTGTGCCCACACCTGGCCTTTAATATCTCCTCTTGTGCATTAGGAACTTCCTATTCTGGGGTCAGCGAGCTCCCCTGAACACACTGTCTTAAATACAGTTTATGCTCCACTATAATTAAAATGTGGTTTTCCACCAATACCACTGTCAGCTCCCATGAAGGCTGCTGCCCATTGCGATTCTCCATTGCTCACAGGATAACGAAGCATTGGTGTATTTTATTTAATTGCTACTTCCCTACTTTTTCTTCACTGCTCCTCTTGGCAACATGTCTCTTTTGGAAGGAAGCCTGTGGTGTTCTCTCATACTGCCCATGCTTCATTTTCCCTATTATCATCTATGGATGCTCTCCACTTTTATTTAAGGAGCTCAGTCAAGTCCTTCTATCTGCTGCCATCAATCTCAACAGCCACATGTGAACTATCCAACAGTCTGAGCTCACATATCTTATTAGGACCAGCATAATTTCATAACCTTCACTTTCCTTCTCCCCTTGACAGCTTTGTTTGCTTGCCACTTACCCCTGGACTCACTAATTCAGCCCCAACCTTCCGTGGTCAAAAGATTTTGAGAAGTTCTGTCTCACCACTTCGAGAGCTCAAAATTTAATAGACCTTCTTGCAGTTGAACTCTTACCTTTTTTTTTTTTTTTTTTTTGATGCTAGAACCTGGGCTTTGACTTGATATCAACAACTTACCAAGGAGTAACAGTGATGTTCATCTTGTTCCCTTGTGTTTAAGTCTCTATGACAATGTCCTGGCCCCATAGGCTCCGTGGGTCCTGACCTCTCACCTCCAGAATTTCAGTACAAAGCAGGGGTTTTATCTGTGGCAAAGTTTTATCGCATCTATGCTCAAGACCTGCCTCTTTGTATACCTCAGCTCTCTAAATATTACCTGTGTCTAGATACCAGCAGCCTCATTCATCCTGATGCTGACCATTCACCTGGGCCCTAACTTTTATAGGTCCATATACTTCCTAACTACCATGTTCTGCCTGTTGGACTAGACATTCTCCCAGTACCAACAGCTAGATCTGTATCTCTGGTACCTGCTCACCCAAGTAGACAGATCCTGCTACAATTCAATCTACCCCACCAAGTTGGCAGTGAATTTTTCTGTGCCTAGCTGTGAAAGGAGATATGCTGATAGCCCCTTAGCTTTCTACCATCCTCTCACTCCCATCACACTGCACTGTCCTTCTCCCTTTGCTCTCCAATTCCTTAATCTCTCCCTTGCCTCACAGGCTCTGTACTTCTTTCTTGCATCCTTTGCTTCCTTCTCTGTTCCAGGACATTCCACCCATTTTAGATTCTCTCATGTTTTTGTTTGCTTGCCACATTCTCTCTGCTAACCTCCAAACTTGGTAAGTCCATCGGATAAATCATCAAGACCAGTTACAAAACTTTCAGTTCTCTTGCCTCCAAGTACACTTTTGAGTCCTACTGGTCCAGCTCCTCTCCTTTGGCCACTGAAATGTGTATAATCATAAAAAGTTGTATTTCCACGTGGAAGCTTTAAGAGAGAAAGCTCCCTTTGCTATGTTCTCTTTCCCTTTGCTCCGTGAGCAGCAATCCTCTCTGAGTGAGAACAGTGGCCCCAACTGACCTATAGTGGACATGTAGCAAGAAAAGAAATAAGCCTTTGTTGTTTTAAGTCTTTGAGACTAGGGGACTGTTTGTTATTTTAGCATAACCTAACCTATTATGACAGATACTGATCCCACCATCTATTTCGTTTACTCTTGTTCTGCAGCTATGGTACACCTGGTTGCTTTGCCTGGCCAATATTCCTTTGAAAAACTACCCCTTCCCCACCTTGGGTCCGTGTGATTCATGTCTTCAGGGGTGGCAGGTGACGCAAACCTGACCAAGCAAGCTATTCTATTCCTGGGACACATGTGATTAGTCCAGCAGGGGGCACATTACCCCAGCTAAGGCCACCTGTGGCCTGTACCAGGACTTTAGCTAGAAAATGTGAGAAAGGAGAGCTCTTTTTGTGTGGGTTTGCTGAAGCAGGTGGACTGTATTCATGGAGCTGCCAGTTTGGAGTCTGTCTAAGAAAGCAGAATCAAACATTGGAAGAAATATATATTTGATGACATCGCTTGAGGTTCTAGACTTAACTATGCCCTAAGTCAGGGGTCCTCAAACTTTTTAAACAGGGGGCCAGTTCACTGTCCCTCAGACAGTGGGACAGTGTGCACTGTGGGCACAGGACAAGTCGGCTGCTAAACAGGACAGGCAGTGGCAGCAAAAACACCTGGAGGGCCGGATAAATGTGCGAGGTGGCCCGCATGTGGCCCGCGGGCTGTAGTTTGAGGATGCCTGCCCTAAGTCATTATACTTTTCAGATTTTCCTGTTATATAAGGCAATAAATTTCTTTTTTTTTAAATCTAGCCTGAATTGGGATTTCAAACACTTGCAATGGAAAAAGTGCTGACTAAAACAGCTGCCAAGCATTAATGGAAAGATAGGAAGCCATAGAATTTTCCCTCATACTTTTATGTTACCAAATAGCAACTGAATTCTCACTGGGACCAGCAGTCTTCTTGTCCAGCTTTATTCACTTCCTATTATATTCCCCATGATGCCTATTGCAGACATTTTCTACTCTCCATAATTCTTTCCCTGCTTTCTAAGATGAGCTGGCCTTTCATTTCTCTGAAAGCAAATTCAGCTGTCTTGAGCTTCTTCCACTTTACCCTCATTCCTCGGTATTTTCATTCACCCATCTCTTTCCAAAGGTAACCACATCTCTTGTTCCTTTGCTTGGTCTCTGCTGGTGGCTTTTGTGTCCCTGTTTTCCTCTTAGATCTCTGACCACTCCTGTGTCTCCCTTTTCTCCTACCACAGCCTGGGAATGACTATGCATCACCTCTCCCCGTCTTCTCCTTCCAGTGCTCATCCCTGGGTAACTCATCCACTCCTTTGGTTTTACCTGTCACTCCAAGGCACGTAGCTCTCAAACCTGTATGTTCCAGGCTTGGCCTGCTAGACTTAAGCATTTGCATGCCACAATTGGAGATGCACCTCAAACTCAGCATGTCAAAAAGTGAAATTATTATACTCTTTTAAAATTCAAACTCTAAGTTATTCAATTTCAGAAACTGGACAACCTCAGTTACTCTCCCCATACCGTCAGATCCAAATTAGTTACTATGTCTTATCAATCAATATCTCTCCACAATGCCTCTTCACCCAGTACTCTCCTGACAGAGAGAGTGTACAGTGACTAGTTCTGGCTCTTATTACTTGCTATGTAGGTTTATGCACTCATTGCCTCAGTTCCCCTTGGAAAATTACAGTCCCGAAGGCCAAAACCAAAATGAGTGAAAAGGCACAAATGGAAGGAAGTTTTAGGTTGCTACCTCTTATCCAGGCACATGCATTAGCTCAGGACTCGCAGTCAGATGCCTGCTAGAGGTCTGTTATTCACAAGGTTGAGTCTTGGTATTTCACATCCCCAGTGATATCCTCAGCACATTTGGAAATAGAACACCTTATGCTCAGTGGCCATTGCTGCAAAATTCCTTTTTAGTCCTCATGGCATCACTAGAAATTTCAAACACATTCTTCTGAAAGGTTTCTAGAGCTCATGCAAGTACCACTGTTTTGTTAAAAAGTGTTTCCCTAGCCTTTTCCCAGAACTTTGACCTTGTTCCACTACTATCCTGAACAGCCTTTCGTGTCAGGGTCTAACAATCCAAAACGTTGCATAAGCCTCTGCTACAGAGGTGTAGACCAGTAAGAATCAGCCCCAATAGCAATAATTCACCTGGCCTCCTGCTTCTCCCCTTTCTAGTTCATAATCTTCAGAGGATGGCTCTAATTTCTTTCCTGAAGCACAGCATGGCTCACATTAGAAAGCCCTTAAAAAGTTCAGTTGGTCACACTAATTAGAGAATCCGGCCCAAATTCTTTTGCCTGCAATGCAAGAACCCCTGCAGTTTAGCTCTAGTCCACCTCTGTTAGTCTGCTAGGGCTGCCATAACCATGTGCCACAGACTGGGTGGTTTAAACCACAGGTGTTTATTTTCTTACTGTTCTGGAGTCTAGAAGTCTAACATCAAAGTGTTGGCAGGCTTGAATTCTTTTGAGGCCTCTCTTTTTAGCTTGTTGATGGCTGCTTTCTTTCTCTGTCTTCACCTGGTCTTTCTTCTGTATGTATGTATTAATATATGTCTGTGTCCAAATTTTTTCTTTTTATTAAGATATCAGTCATATTAAATTAGGGATCACCACTTAACATTTGTACCCCCATAATATGCTGAAATAAAATAAAAAAATAAAATAAAATTGCTATGAAAAATAAAAATAATAATAAAATAAAAATACAAAAAAAAATATTAGGGATCACCATAAAGACCTCATTTTAACGTAATACCTTTTTAAAGACCTTATCTCCAAATACAGCCACATGTTGAGGTACTGGGAGTTAGGACCTGAACATGTGAGTTTTGAGGGGGATCTAGCTTAGCCCATAACACCACCTATCTGTCCTCATCTCCCACACCCGACGGTCCAGTCAGCCAAAGTGGCCACTGGTCATTCCCTGCGGTGTCCTTGTCTCTGGGCTTTGATCATAATATTGCATCCTTACAGCAATCCTTAACTCTGCATGTCTACGTCAAACCCACCTTTCAAAAACCAGTTCAAGCACCACCTCCCACTATGATCGCCCAGATGGATATAATGGCTTCCTCCTCAGAACTGAAAAGACACTTTGGTTGTCCCTACAATTTTACTTTCTGTAAAACTGTGTTATTTCTGTGCACACTTTATCTCTTCTACTAGACTACAAGTTCTTATAGGGCACTATCTACCTATTTCACCTATTTGGACACCAACACCACTTCCTACACATATGCACATACACGCTCAGGGTCTACCAAAGTTCCTCGTCCAAAACAGGTGCTCAATATGTACTACTAACTATAAAATTTCTATTTTCAAGCTCTACACAAAAATATGCTCATGGAGCCTTGAAATAATAGTATCAATATTTTTCATACTCTGAATACTTATTATATGGGCATAATATTCTATGTTCTACATAATGCCACTTACTGTGGATATCAAGGAATAAAACTGTTTTAAAATGATTTTACTCTCAGCCTTATACTCATGAAATCCTGAGAAATATTCGTTTAGGGCTCTTACTTAAGTTCAAGCATTATATTACAACTCTCACAGAGTCCATAGAAATCAGAAATCAGTGCATAGAATCAGGAATTTGGAAGTAGCTTCTCTAGTCCCTTTGACTTATCTCCAGCTCTGTCCATGAGGCCTTTTACGCTGGGCACTGGGAGCATACCACATGGTCACCTCCATGGCTGGCTAAGAGTATCCACCACGGTGCTGCTTCCCTCATTTCATCCCTCCACTCCCCAGCCCTACCTTCCACCTCCCCTGTTGTCCAGCCACCAGCCAGGTAACCAGGGACATTCCTTCTGGATCCACTGCTGGAAGGAAAGTGGGAGAGGAGACAAGTGTCAGTAAGTCCTCATGGCGGTCTGGCCTCAGTTTGGCAAATTTGAAAGATAATCAGATTATTAAAATATTGTGATGATTAATATTCTCCTTTTTCATACTATAAGCAAGTGTTTATATTCTTCCCAATCTTGAATCACATTATTAGAGGCTCCCTTCATTTTGGATGTGTCCACCTCAAGGAAGGGTGTGGGAGAAAAAGAAAACCTGTCCTACCACATTCATCGAATCCTCACAGAACCCTTGAAAAAGAGGTATAGTTGGTTCTCATTATTCATGGTAACTGTCTCTTATAAAGTCACCAAGATCACTGAATTAACTAATATTGTGCCATTGCTCCTAGGAGAAATATGGGGTTAGGACCCTGTAAGTGTGTGGGCACAATATGTTCATCAACCAATCAATAATTTTGTTTTATATATGTTTTATTTAACCACACTGTCCATTTTCCGTCCCTTAGAATATCTGAAACTGAGTAATTCATAAAGAAAAGGAATCTATTTCTTACAGAGGTGGAGGCTGAGAAGGCCAAAGTCAGGGAGCTGCATCTAGCGAGGGCCTTGCTGCCGGCGGGGACTCTGCACAGTCCCGAGGCGATGCAGAGCACCCCATGGTGAGGGCGCTGAATGTGCTGGCTCAGGTCTCTCTTCCTCTTCTTATAAAGCCACCAGTCCCACTCCCTTGACAGTTCATTACGTCATTAACCCATTGATTCATTAATCTATTGATTAATCCATTTATGAGAGCAGACCTCTTAAAAGCCTCATCTCTCAATATTGCCACATTGGAGATTAAATTTCAAAATGAGTTATGGAAGGGACAATCATTCAAATCACAGTGGACACTTATTTAATATTTATTGTTAGCCAGGTGCACACCTCTAGTTCCAGCTACTCTGGAGCTGAGGTGAGAGAATCTCTTGAGCCCAGGAGTTTGAACCCAGCTGGGCAAAATAGAGAGACCCTGTCTCTAAAAATTAAAAAAATATATATATGTGTGTGTGTGTGTATATATATACATATAGTTGATTCATTAACATTGAACTCACAGCCAAAAGCACTATAGCTCATACCTGAACAAAATTTACCTAATAGTTAGCTGCATGCTTATGTTTATTGCAGCACTATTTGCAGTAGTAAAAATACGGAATCAACCTAAGTGTCCATCAATGAATAAGGCAAATGTGGTATATATACACAATGAAATACTATTCAGCCATAAAAGAGAATGAAATCCTGTCATTCGTGGCAATATGGATAGAATTGGAGGTCATTATGTTAAGTGAAATATGCCAGGCACAGAAAGACAAATATCACATGTTCTCACTCATATGTGGGAGCTAAAAAAATGTTGCTCTCAGGGAAGTAGACAGTAGAATGATGGTTACTAGAGGCTGGGAAGGGTAGAGATGTAGGCTGAGAATGGAGGAATGAAGAGAGGTCAGTTAAGGGGTACAAAAATCCATGTAGATAGAAGGGAAAAATTCTAGTGTTTGATAACACAGTGGGGTGACTATAGGCAACAATTTTGTACATTTCAATATAGCTGGAAGATTTAGGATGTTCCATACACAAAGAAATGATAAATGTTTGAGGTGATTTTATCATTACACATTATATACCTGTATCAAAATATCACATTTACCCCATAAATATGTAAAACTTTATGTAATCAGTAAAAAAGCTTATCTAACACACCTATTTTGTCTTTAAGTCATATCACAGCCTTCTTGCTCTTAGGGACACTGGGCAACACTTCAGTATTACACTTAAGGGCCATTTTAAATAGCAAAGTCACTAAGAGAAAGAACAAACATGTGAAAGCGTGGCACTAAATAGACAACTTGTTTCCAGTATGAGCTGAAATAAGAAGGCAAAGTGTCACCTTTTTGAACTCAGCTGGGAACGTGTGTATTGGGGAGACTGTAATTTTTCATTGCACCACACATATTCATGACTGCAAAAGTGCTGTGTGCATTGATTTGGGGCTTAAATCGAATTTTAGTGAGCAAATGAATTTACAAAATATGGAATCTGTGAATCACAAGGATCAACTGTATGATTAATCGCACTACATAGAAAAGGAAACTAAAGCTCAAAGTGGCTAAGATCTTTCACAAGGCCACAGCTTATGACACTGGCACAGCCAGGATTCAAACCCCACAGTCTGAGCACAGTCTAGTCTAGTTCCCCTGAGAGGGAGAGTCTGTGTGTGTGGAGTAGACTGCTGCTGTCCCGGTACAATTGAAGGATCCGAAAAGCTCACTTGTCTCTAAACATATCCTTGGTCCATCTGCACGATGCTTAAAGTGAAGCCTCTTCTAAAATCCTAATACTTGAAAGGTGTGTTTCATCACACCTCAGCAAACACATGTAATCCTAAATTCATTTGCAGGCATTGTCTGGAAATGGTGAATGGGAGAGGCAAATGTCCATGGTAGGAGCTGGGTGGTGGTAGGAACTGGGTGCTATGGTTTGGATCAGGGGTCCTTAAACTTTTTAAACAGGGGGCCAGTTCACTGTCCCTCAGACTGTTGCAGGGCCAGATTATAGTTTTAAAAAACTATGAGCAAATTCCTATGCACACTGCACATATCTTATTTTGAAGTAAAAAAACAAATGGGCAAAAATATCCACATGTGGCCCGCGGGCCCTAGTTTGAGGACGCCTGGTTTGGATAATTGTCCCCTTCAAACCTCATGTCAAAATTTGATCCCCAGTGCTGGAGGTGGGGTCTCATAGGAGGTATTTGGGTGGTAAGAATGGATCCTTCATGAATAGATTAATGTCCTCCCTTGGAGGTGAGGGGTTTCTTACTCTATTAGCCCCCAGCTGGTTGTTAAAAAGAACCTGGCACCTCTCCCCACCCCACCCTTGCTTCCTCTCTTACCAGGAGATCTCTGCAAATGAAGACTCCCTTCACCTTCTGCAGCCCGAGGCCTTCACCGAGGCAGAGGCAGAGCAGATGCCAGTGCTATGCTTCCTGTACAGCCTGCAGAATGCTGAGATAAATAAACCTCTTTCCTAATCCCAGCATTTTGGGAGGCTGAGTTGGGAGGATTACTTGAGGCAGGAGTTTAAGACCATCCTGGGCAACAGAATGAGACTCCCATCTCTAAGACAACAAAAACATAACAGCAACAAAACCCCATAATAAACCTATTTTCTTCATAAATTGTCCAGCCTCTGATATTCCTTTATGGCAATACAAAATGGACTAAAACACTGGGACCAGGAGAAATATCTGAAAAATGAACTGTTTGGGGAGGAACAGTCTTGTACAACAATCAGAAAGCAGGATCAACAAGCAAAGGCAGTTCCAGGCATCGTAGTTTGGGTCACCCACAGAGAAGAGAATCAAAGGTACCCTTTCTCTCCTTCACAGTGCTGCCAAAGACCAGTCCTACATCTTGATTAGGATAGAAGCTGAGATGACCTCATGGACTTACACCACTTCTGAGAGTTCCTGAAAGGCTCTGCGAAGGACGGGGCATCGACAGCCGATCACTGGAATGCGCTTTGTGTCAACTCACCCACTCTCATTTCCAGTGCTCCTTAAGTTGCCAGGGTTTGAGCTCCGTGCCCGGTCCTGGCTCTGTGCCCCTCAAACTGGAGTGTATGTACTCCCAGGATACAATAAAGAAGGTGGCCAAGGAGAGGACGTACTCCAAACCACAGCTTATATGTGGCGTATCTTCTTGGAGATTCTCTTTTTTCCTCAAAGATCAGAAGAGAGGGGCATGCAGATAAAAGAAATTAAAAAACTTAATGGGTAAGTAAATGAAAACATCATTTAACAGTGAAACAAACACTGATAAAGCATTGAATAGAATGCAAAATTCAAATAATTTCTTGGGAAAAAACAAACTTTTTACCTGCTGCATGCCATTTCAAACTTTGTGCTCAGACAGTGACCATCTCTTCATCCCCAGTGCTGGACACACATCCACACACATCTCTGGCTTGAGGAGACGGGAGAGGAATGTGCTTTGGTGGCAATGTTTGGAAATTGTTGCAAGTTGAAGAAACCTAAAAAGGAGAGTATAACTTACCCAAGCGTGGGACCAAACTAAATATTCACTCCTGGGTCAGAGAATTAGGATTCAGAATCAGTTATATTGGTAGTTGCATTTTTGCAACAGTTTGTTAACTAACCATGCAGATACCAGCAAGTAAAAAAGGTAATAGTAAACGATATTACAGGGTAGCAAGAAGCAGTTTTCATGATGATGGAACTCAGTGACATTTTTCTGTCACTTATTTTCCCTTTTCCTACCGCAACCACCACTAGCACACTCCCACAGAAGACGCTTGCCTTCCCGTCCCACTGTTGTCTAAAGCACCCTTACTGAGGACACTTATGTAGGTCTTCAGACTACCCAGAGCTCTCCAAGCTTTATATTCTTCAAACCTAGGATCAGGTCACGCAGTCTAACAAGTACAATAGAATTTGTAACAGGCCAAATAGCAAGGGAAAATTTTTAAGTAGGGATAGTCCTAAAACATATTGAAATCATGTTTAAGAGATACTTCAGGCCTGCCATTCTTCCTAAGCAAAAAGTCAGAGGCCCTCTCTACTGGTATCTGCTGAGTATTAAGAGAAAAAGACTTTGATTAGCTAATTACAAAACTTGACATTAAATGTAACAAACTATTCCAGTTAATGCTCTCAAGGGATGTTTGTGTTTTAAAATAGATGCCTGTGAATCCAAGTGAATGACTCTCTACTTGGCTGAAAACGTGCAGGAGATATTTTTCTTCTTCATTTCCTATTTATAACCTGAATTTCTTTATGCACATGCATATGTTGTAATTTTATATAGATGAATAAATGCTATCACATCATACATATTGGGTTTTCCCAATAAAGTCTTTTGACTTTTTTTTTTTGTTTTTGGTCCTGGCTCCATAAACCCCACTTCCCCTCCTGTGTCAGTTTCCTAGGGCTGCCACAATAATAAAGTACCACAAATGGGGTAGCTTTAAAACAACAGAAGGTATTGCCTCACAGTTCTGGAGCCTGGACTTCCAAAATCAAGGTGCTGGCAGGACCATACTCCAATGGAAGCCTCAGCATCTTTCCTTGCCTCTTCCAGTTTCCAGCAATCTCAGGCTGTGACCACGGAACTCCCATCTCTCTGCCTCCATCCCGTCATCACACGGCCATCACGTGGCCATCTTCTCCCTGTGTGTCTGCACTGTCTTCCCTCTGTGAGAGTCTGTCTCTGTGTCCAAGTTTCCCCTGCTAATGACACCAGTCATATTGGATCAGGATCCACCCTAATGACCTCATCTTAACTTGATTACATCTGCAAAGACCCTATTTCCAAATAAGGTCACATTCACAGGTAGAAGGTGTTAGGATTTCAACGCATCTGTTTTGAGGTGACACATTCAATCCATTACACCTCCCAAGCCCACGTTACTCGTCCTGGTTTTTATCCTTCAACACTTTCTCGCTTGCTCTTCCAGCTCACCATGTCCACAGGGAGCCTCTCCATGTCACCCCCCTTCCATCCATCTCTTCCATACCACGACAACTGGGTCAGCAGCTAACAATCCCACTTTTAACTATGGTTGGCCTTTCCTACAATATCACAAAGGCAGGCAAGAGCAGTGATCACAGCAGCAGAACCCGAGAGGCAGGAAAACGCCTTCTGGGACTCCTCCTATGTGAACAGGTTTGGTGTGGACTCTACATTCACTCGGTTTTCTAAAAACAATAGCCAAGGAGAGGATGGAAGAGGGTAGATCTGTTTGTCTTGATCAAAAGCACATTTCTCTAGGGTCTTGATTTAGGAGGTATTTAGATATTTGTTGGCTGGGCGTGGTGGCTCACGCCTGTAATCCTAACACTCTGGGAGGCCGAGGCGGGCGGATTGCTCGAGGTCAGGAGTTCGAAACCAGCCTGAGCAAGAGCGAGACCCCGTCTCTACTATAAATAGGAAGAAATTAATAGGCCAACTAACATATACAGAAAAAATTAGCCAGGCATGGTGGTGCATGCCTTTAGTCCCAGCTACTCGGGAGGCTGAGGCAGGAGGATTGCTTGAGCCCAGGAGTTTGAGGTTGCTGTGAGCTAGGCTGACACCATGGCACTCACTCTAGCCTGGGCAACAAAGCAAGACTCCGTCTCAAAAAAAAAAAAATTTATATTTGTTCCCCTCCCTGAACCCTACTCCTACCTCAGTCTCCATGCTTAGGTCAGAGTCTCTGTAGCCTGGCAGAATTTTAGTTACAGAGTAAATAATTTTCCTACAGACTTCCTCCTGCTTCTCTGATAATGTGTCCAGATTCTCCATTTTGATGAAAACCATTAAAAAATGCACACGGTGTTTTAGAAAAGTAGAAAGTTTAACAACTCAAACTCTGAAAAGCAAATACCTGATACTTAATAATGTTTTGTGATCCCAAACGTCTCATAATGGAGTCACTTAAGACAAGTGACTCAGCCCACAGTGAAATTGCCGGCCCCTCTGCGTGACAAGCATATGTAAGGTGGACTAATGGTGGGTAAGGTGACACCTGCTGTGGCCAGACACCCCTGAAACCTAAAAGAAAATGAAGCCAAATGGTGGTTGAGATGACTGTGTCAAGGGCCATAGAAATAACAAAGAACCTGATCGTGGCCCAGACACCCACTGAAGCTCTGCCCAGGAAAACTCTGGGGCCCTTCCTTCGGCAGCTAGGCCAGGAGAGGAGCAGCAATCCCCCTGGTAAATCCCCCCTTCCCGTTGGTTGGCCTTTCCAGGTAAATCCCACCAGCCCGGTTTGGCTGTCAGTGGGTGTGCTGGTCTCCCACAGTGGTTCATTCTCCCTCTCTCTTATGACTGCCTGCATGCATTGAATATATTTTCATGATTCTTGGTGTGTGAAAATCTCACAATAAACCGTGAATTTAAAAGCATTTAATTGGCCACTGAGTCTTTGTGAAACCTCCAGGCCCGCCGGTGGGTGTTAGCACAGTTAGGCTGATTCAAACCTGGCACGATAATGCCTCAGTAAACTCTCTTGTCATCTTTTCCCCATCCCTCAAAGCTCCCCACGTGCCAATACCAATCCATTTGAGAGGACTGTGGATAGGGAAAGCATTTTTGAGCAATCAGAATTGAGGGCAGTCCTGGTCCAGGGTCACTTATAAGTCAGGGCAATTTGGGGAGGTGGGCGGTCCATTTCAGGAGGTCATCTGTTATCACCTGCCCAGAGCCTCTCTCCTCTCCTAAGAACTGCTCCTCTCCTCACTCCAGCCATTTGGTCCAAGTGGAGAACAACAAATACTGATCTCAAGACTGGGCAGCTGACCCGAGCAAGGATCTTCAGAGCCCTTATTCAGGAGTTTTCAAATTGGAGCAAAAGAATCAGGGACTGTCCCTTCTGTGATGAAGCTGAGAATGGTGATCCTGGAGGGCACTTTGGCCTCTCCATCACTGTGGAGTCTGAGAAAGAGGCAGAGACAGGGAACTCTAAATGGCATTTGACTTTCTGCTTCCGGACATCCCTGAAGCCCAGTTGTGTCTGGCCCTTTCCTCCGTGTATGAGAGCCCCAAATCCCCCCTTTTGATTATTCTATTTTGGGGTACATCTCTGTCATCTGCAACCAAAGGAGTCCTGATTAATACAACACTTTTTACCTATGAGGGCTGTTCAGAAATCACTTTGTCCCCTCCCCTAGAGCCCAGTAAGACTACCAAAAACCCTTACTTCCTCCAGCAGATCCTTGAGCTATTTTCTCTCTGCTCACACCCACCCCTTTAGATCTAGTTTTCTGATACTAGGGCTGAGACTCTGAGACCCGTATTTATCCTTGTTCAACTGGTCAAATGTAAAATGCCACAGCTACTTGAATGGAATGATTACATTTGCTGTCTCCCCTGTAAAAAAAAAAAAAAAAAAAAAAAGCAAAAAAGCCGTGTTGTGCTGAATGTGAAATTCCATTATTATTTTTGTAAGATCTAAGAACTCTGTAGAAGAGGGAGAATACGGAGACTGCAAATACAGAACAGCCTTTGCAAAAACTTGCCAATTACATGAAGCACGCTTTCTGGGAATGCCACCAAGATATTAGTGAATAGCAGTGTCACATTTTAAAACAAAGGGGATTTTTGTTAGAAGTACAGTACTAATATATTTATGTGATGACCCCAGAGCACAACTGACCTAAATCCACAGCCTTTGTTTCTGCAGAGTTTATGTTGTCATATTCTCAATACAATTCTGTGGGTTTTTTGTTTTGTTTTGTTTTTTAGAAAAGCACATCACATCCAGGCGTTATATCAGGGACGTATAATACTAAGGCAATTCAAGGAATTAGTTGTCAAATCTGTAAAGGGGCCTTCATGCCCCAAAAGCATAGCATAAGCAAATCACAATAAGCTCTGTTTTGAAAAAAGAATTTATTCATTTAAAAAAATGTATTAAGCTGCCACTGTATACTGGATGTGATGTTAGGTGCCGAACATCGGGAGTAAATATGAAATGGCTCCTACTTTGGCCATATTCATAGTATAGCACCTGAGACAGGTTTAAAAATAATTACAGTACGTGGTGGTTCCTCCCTGTTTTCCTCTCCCTCCCATACCTGATGCATCTGTATATATGCACAGCTGCCAAGAGCCTCTGAGGAGAGCTCAAACCATCATACAGCATATCAGCAGATCCAGGAGTGTTAAAAGCCAAATCAGAAAACAATTTCAAGACTCCCTAGGGAAGAAAAGGTTAAGAATGATGGGCAGGAGAGTAAAAGGTCCTGGAA